TTTTTGTTATAAGAAAAATGTTATTAAACCTGTTATACTGTATTATGACAGCACTTTTTTAAACTAAATTTTAATATCGTGATAATACCGCATACCATGATAAAAGCATTAGCAATTAATCGCAACATGAAAATTTGATACCGGCATATCCCTAGTGCTGGTAGGTATATGTATCTTTACAGAGGAATGTTTGATTCTGAGGTGCCGTTGGTTTAGCCCTTTATTTCTTCCATTTTTTTCTGTTGATCTGTGTGCCTCTCTCCTCTCCTGCTGGACTTCAGTGAGTTGGGGGGCAGGTAGCGTAACTCTCACTCCTGATGTCACCTGATTTATCACCTGCACTCTGTCCTGTCTTAGCTCGTTTGTCAGCTGTCTTCGTGTCATGCCATCAAATGTCTCGATAAAGATGATCTTTTTGCATGGGATGACACTGCCATTGCCCCCCTGATGTGTGAGGTGTTTAGCGGCTCTAAGTGAAGGAGCATAGCTTTTTCTTCAGTTCATTTGTCTTGTCTCATACTGACAGTCTTTCCCCTGTCTTGTTTTACTGAAAAGCCTCTTTCCTGAATAAAGCCATTCTCATTAGGGTCTGTGTTAAAGTTCTCTTTTCTTTTGACCCGTCAAACACCTGCCCCCTTGGCTCTGACCACAACATAACGCTTTATTTTATCTGGTATCAGCAAATCACAGCCCTCTTACAGACTTTCCCATGCAGTTTTGTTGTGGTCACAGTGCTAGAAACAAACATCCTTCCCAACATAATGACAGTATAGCAGACATGTTATTGTGCATCATGGGTAACAGAGGTAGGCGGTATGACCAAAATCTTGCTTAATCTAATAATTGTATTTATTACAATATGCTCTACCATTCAAAATTTTGGATTCAAAATTGTAATAGTTTACAACATTACTGTTGTTGTTTTTTTTTGGTCAAATTAATGCAGCCTTGGTGAATATAATGGACTTCTCGCAAAACCATTAAAAAATATTGACCCCAAAACTTTTGAGCAGAATTGTAGTTATACATAATAATAATAATAATACATATTTATGGAAAATTCCCGTAATGAAAGATTTAGTGTCATTTATTTTCTCTTGTTATTTAGAACTTGGACATATACTCAAAACAAAAAAAGAAAATGTCACATTCTGCAACACAAGTAAAAATTTGACCAAATTGTAAATGAATGAGCCACATTCACAGCTGTTGTAAAATAGCTGTTCAAATCCATGTATCAGTTAAAATCTTAATGCACTAAGTTGTGAGGTTGCTTTACAATTGTAAACCGTGTAAAGCCCGCTTTGTGTTGTGCTTAACAACGCAGTCTTTCCTTTCCTCGTTTGGGACACATCATGCTTTGTATTTTCACATCAATTCATGTTTCTTCATTACTCTCACATGTAAATGCATAAACCCTTCTCACCGGTAGCAATCTAAAAGCCTCCTGCGTTGTATATCAGAATATTAACCTGTTGACCATTTTCTGCCGTCACACAGTATACTGTCATGCCGCCCACCCCTGATGAGTAATGTGTGTTTGGTCTCTGCAGTCTCTGCTCATGCTTCATTGTTTCCTCATCGTTTCTCTCCTCTGTGTCTCCTGCTGCAGTGGGAAACAGTCCATTGCGATCGATGACTGCACGTTCCACCAGTGTGTCCGTCTCAGCAAGTTTGACTCGGAGCGCAGTATTAGCTTCATCCCTCCCGATGGAGAGTATGAGCTCATGAGGTCAGTGAAGAGTGTGTGTGTGTCTGCATATGAGTGTGTCACACAGCACAATGACAGCGTCCTTGTCTCAGGTACCGCACCACTAAAGACATCATCCTCCCCTTTCGCGTCATCCCATTGGTCCGAGAGGTGGGCCGCACCAAGCTGGAGGTAAAGGTGGTGATCAAGTCCAACTTCAAACCCTCCCTGCTGGCACAGAAGATAGAGGTGAGACTGACAGCAGAAATAACATTCATTATTCTGGAAGTGCCTCATTAGTTGTACAATATTGCAGTGAAAATCATGTGTTTCTCTACAGGTGCGCATTCCTACTCCACTCAACACCAGTGGGGTTCAGGTCATCTGTATGAAGGGGAAAGCCAAGTACAAAGCCAGTGAGAACGCCATTGTTTGGAAGTACGGCTTGATTTTACTGTATGAACTCCCTTCAGAATTTCACTTGCTATGAGATGATGAGATGTAAACCCCTACTTGTTTCTCCTTTCTAATTCTTCCACAACATGCATTCCAGACCCCCAGTCCCTATTGAATCCCAGCTAATTTGGTGCTCTGGCCCCTTTTCAACCCGGTGATTAGCGCTGAACCTGTGTTCCTGCACAAAGGCGGTATCATTGTGGCCATTTCCTGCTCCTAAGTCCCTATCTGCTAACCTGGACCCTAAAAACATACCCCTTCATACTTCGTTTTTGTAGTGGTCCCTCCTAAGAGTAGGTATCGTCCACATTCTTGTTCTCGGTGAACTGGTGTAAACGTTAAGCAGATGACCCCACAATGTTCTTGAGCGTAACTTTTCATTGAAAAGTTGTTTTATGTACGCTGATGTAACTATTTGGATTTTGTCTTAATTTTTTTGTTGTCTCGATACAAGAATTTCTCAATGTGACCAAAATGAGGTGTGAGGACGTTTGAATTAAAGCAACAAATTGTACTAATGCTTAAGTCCAGCTGTCTGTGTGCGTATATGCTATTCTATACACTGTAACAAAACCCCCACACCGATTTAGACGAGTTTCAGCTTTCATTTGGTGTCATATAGTGACTGGTGCGTATGTGTGCGAGTCAGGGGTCCCCAACATCTCTCAGGGACTTTGCATTTGCGCACTTAACCGTCTTTTCATGTCACACTTTAACTTTCATCCTCATTTACCTCTTTGTTTACTTGTCTGAAGTTTACCGTTCGTCTTTGCATCAGCGAAATCTCTCCCTGCATTTCAACATTTCTCCTGAGATTAGTTTGAAGGCAAATGCAACTTCAAAAAGATGCATTTCACTAAATACATACGTGAGGGCCTAGAATATTAGGGAGTCCCTTTTCTAAAACTTCTTTAGTCCTGATCTGAGGCAGGAGATTTTGGAGAAGCCATGTCTGCCTTTATGGTCTTGAACACCGTGTCGCTCCTTTCATGTGCACACAAACTCCACTCTGCGGAAGGCGCCGGAGGATTTGTCTTAATGCGAAGGCATTTTGGTTGAACAGCACAGAGACGGAAGAGTCCCTTTTCTAAAACTTCTTTAGTCCTGATCTGAGGCAGGAGATTTTGGAGAAGCCATGTCTGCCTTTATGGTCTTGAACACCGTGCTCGCTCCTTTCGTGTGCACACAAACTCCACTCTGCGGAAGGCGCCGGAGGATTTGTCTTAATGCGAAGGCATTTTGTTTGAACAGCACAGAGACGGAAGAAGCACAGTTTAGTGATGTGCTCACTGACGACTACTATGCTCGTGCTATCTACGTTACGTTTCAGACAACACTACAGACTCGACCCTGCAGATTTAAGTGTGCGACTTCTAATAACACTTACACCATCTGACCTCAGTGTGTTTCAGCTCTGAGAGATGATGAGGCTCCTTTTGCAGTGTATCGTCTTCATTTGGTAACTTTGTGATTGTCGTCTTAATCCTAATAAAATGTGTAATCAGTTACTCTTAATGGAGTTGGTGTTTTTGTTTCATATTATATAAATATTGTATGGCATTTTAAAGTTGCGATTGAATGGAAGTAGACAGTTCGCAACACCTTGGTTCCCTCGACAAAAACCCAATAGGATTTTTCCATAGACTTCTGGATTATTGCAGAAAATAAGCACTGTGACCAACAAAAGTGTTTGATTCTTACACGTTTTGTTTTTCATGATAATCTTCACAAATAAATGCAACTTTTATGAGTTTTGACGCCTAAATACAATCACCAGAAGTAAAAAGCTAAACATAGGCTATAAACAAACTACACCACGGTCACATGACTTTAACGTCACCACTATTACGCTTCTGACAGCTCTTTCAGTCTTTGTGAAAACATTTCCCCTACAAGTTTAAGTTGGAATAGTTTGCAAAAGCACAATTATAAACACAATGAAACTGAAAGCAACTAATGAGTGGATGAGTTTACCTTGTTCGGTGTGATGACGTTTAATGTCCATGACAACCTCTGTAGTCCCATCTAGACACTTAACAACTGCCTTTTTAAAAAATCGTAAAAGGTATTAAGGGGGAAGTCGTGGCCTAATGGTTAGAGAGTCGGACTCGTAACCCAAAGGTTGCGGGTTCGAGTCTCGTACCGGCAGGGATTGTAGGTGGGGGGAGTGAATGTACAGCGCTCTCTCCCACCTTCAATACCACGACTGGGGTGCCCTTGAGCAAGGCACCGAACCCCCAACTGCTCCCCGGGCGACGCAGCAAAAAATGGCTGCCCACTGCTCTGGGTGTGTGTTCACGGTGTGTGTGTGCACTTAGGATGGGATAAATGCAGAGCACTAATTCCGAGTATGGGTCACCATACTTGGCCACATGTCACTTCACAGTCCCTGATGTATTATATGTGACCCTGGAGCACAAAACCAGTCTTAAGTCGCTGGGGTATATTTGTAGCAATAGCCAAAAATACATTGTATGGGTCAAAATTATTGATTTTTCTTTTATGCCAAAAATCATTAGGACATTAAGTAAAGATCCATTAAGTAAGAAGATATTTTGTAAATTTCCTACTGTAAATATATTAAAACTTAATTTTTGATTAGTAATTTGCATTGCTAAGAACTTCATTTGGACAACTTTAAAGGCGATTTTCTCAATATTTAGATTTTTTTGCACCCTCAGATTCCAAATTTTCAAATAGTTGTATCTCGGCCAAATATTGTCCTATCATAACAAACCATACATCAATGGAAAGCTTATTTCCATAGGAGGTTTTGTGGTCCAGGGTCACGTATGTCATAGAATAAAATGTGAAAATATCTTAAGTTTCTGTTAACCTTCATCATATGTTAGGTTTGTATCTTTTAGAGAACCCCACAATTGTTTTTTAAGAATCTAAATCTATTGGATAAGTGAAAATTAAGGGCAAAAGACTTAAAACTAACCATTCCAAACAAGTGTTTGGAGGTTTTATCTGGACTTTTCGTTTACTATGGGCAGACCATTTTTTGATTTTATGTGGAAGTTTTAATGGATGGGTTTATATTGGCTGCAGTGTGCTGTAATCCTCTAGATCAGTGATGGGCAAACTTGGCCCATCCAGGCCACTTTCAATACAGTGCAATCAGTTCGGACATCGCACAGTGCTCATTCAATAAAGGCTGGTCTTGCTTGTTTGTTTATTTTTAATATACAAAAGTTATATTTTTTTGTCAATTTAAAAGCCCTTTCACACCAAAAGTGAAACGAATAAGCCTCAGGTTGAAGGAAATGTAAATTCATGTCTGTATAGCAGAGGGCACAGCTCAAACAGACCTTTCAATAAGATGGAGAAGAAATTCAACACTCTTCAGCAATTAAAAAAAAAAAAGTACAAAAAAATGAAACAAATGTTGTTTATCTAAAGTCATTTTTGCTTATTAGTATTGGAATTGGATCATCGAAGCAAAGACATTGGTTCATAAAATGGGATTAAATACATAAAGGATATTTGTGGTATTTAACATATCTAACTATTGCAGGTTTGTGTCATATTCTGAGTTTGCTTTTCACTGTTTTTATTCACTTTGAGGAATACTGAATCTGTTTTTGTGTGAGTGAGATGAACTACAGTAACATCATGGTCACACAACGCCTCTGCACTACTCGCGATTTCAACATGGGGACAGGAGAGCTGCCGGTCAATAAATTGGAAAGACTGGCGTTACTTATTTTAAAAAAATTAACCGATATTTTCTTCTAAATTCAAAAGCAATGTGTTACTTTACTAGTTACTTGAAAAAAGTAATCTGATTACAAAACTCGCATTACTTGTAATGCGTTACCGTCAACACTATCTGTCACTTCTCTGTATGATCTGTATGACTTACTTTCTTCTGTGGAACACTAAAGAAGATATTTTGAGAATTTTTTGGAGGTCATTGTTTACCAAAAACTGTTTGGTTACCAAAATTCTTCAAAATATCTTCTTTTCACAGAAGAAAAAATGCATGCAGGTTTGGAATGACGTGAATTTTTATTTTTGGATGCACTATTCCTTTTATTTATTCAATGGTTGGCAATTGGGAGAAGATCATGTGCTCATGTCATTTCTGCATAGAATGCCTCTTCAAAATACAAGATAAATCTCTGTTTATATTTAACATACATTTACATTACTATTTTTAGAGTTTTATTGCTTTGACATAAGCCACACAGGAGAATAATTCAGTAAATGAGACCATTAGGAATGCTTACAAGCACTGTTTGTGGGTTCGGATGGTTGTTGGTGGTCTGATGTTGCCTGCAGAGATTTGCACCGACGTTATAGCTGGTTGGGAAAAGTTTGGAGCTATTTTCCTGCAGCAGGGATGGGCGGGGGGTTTATGTGGGAAGTCACTCATTAGCGCGAGTATTTAGGCTGACGTCATGGCCAATCATTAAGTGGGTGCAGGAGCCAGAGGACCTACTGATGGATCGATGGCCAATTAAACTCTCATCTCTCAGGGCCCCTGAAAGAGATTCTCCTGTCCCGCTAGTCTTTTTCTCCTCCGTCCTTCCGTCTCCCTCTCCCTTTCTTTTTTGCTCTTTCCCAGAGTGAGTGACAGGGAAGGGTCAAGCAGCCCCCGGTTCCGCAGTCACCTGGAGTGCAGCCAAAGCCTGGGCCTCCAGCCAAATTCAAAACCACTCGCAAAAGATATGAAGCTGCCTTTCAGGTGCCCTTCTCCAAATCCATGTTTCTCTCTGCTTCAGGAATTCCATACTTTATGATAATGCAGCGGTGTCATTGCTATTCATATGATACTGACTGAAAACCAACCGTCAGCTCGCTGAATAGTGACACGATTGCCTTCTGTAGAGCCGAACTGAACTTGTTTCATAATTGAGTGACGTAGACATGTGGGGGCGTGTTAGAAGAACCGTTTTAGGTAGGTGTGGCTGACTCTTAACTTTTATAAAGAATATCTCTTTGGATTTGAGACTTTAGTCTTTGCAACTTTACAGATCTTCTTTATGCACCAAGAGCTTGTAACACTCCAAAGAAAAATGAAAACTTGAAATCGCATCATATGACCCCCTTTAAAGTAAAGCACTGTGAAAAGCCTGGCTTTTGTTGAAAAAAGTTGACTCGAGTGTGATATCATGGAAACTGCAACAATGAGGACTATCTTTTGGAGTTGAAAGTGAGGTAAGCTTTTCAACTTTCAATGTCTTTCTAATGTTTTATAGCTCGTACCAATTTTTTTTAAATTTTTTTTTTGCAGGCACATGAGAAAAACACCTGTTGTGATGTACTGGAGGTGTTGTTTAGCCTGGGCTGAAATCCAGATATATTTATTCATTTCTGTGGGGAAAATGAAGAGGAATTCACAGTAAGTTATTATTATTATAATTTTTTTTTTTTTTTTGGCCAACCGAAAACACATTTTTCCCTACAAATGAATTTCGTCAAATAAATAGCATTTCCGATTATTATGCTGCTCTGAGTTGATAAACAGAGACTGTACGTGCATGGAGAGTAAAGGGAGGAGATGAGGAGGAGGAGGACATTAGATTGGAGCAGGGCGGCGCTTTGTGCTCCTGCGGGATTCTTCTTGCACCCTAGAGATAGCGAAAGTTTAGAGCAAGAAGCAGAAGTGCACTAAATAAAGTCTACTGCGAGTATTAAACACATTCAGCAGAAACATTCGCACGAATCTGTCTTTCCGGAGGCGAGGACACATCTGTCTCCAGCACGGATGCGCGCGCGTCTGGATGCGCTGAGTTCTGTGGAACTACTTTCTTACTCCAGAATATATGGATGAGACACAAACGCAAAGTGGAAGGTAATCCGCGAGGAAAGTTGTGTGATTTAAAGATGCGCTGGGTTTGTTCCTGCGCGCTGCTGCTGCTGATGGTGCTGCTGGTGCTGCTGGATAATGCCGTGGCCGTGCCTGCGTGGGGGAAACCCACGGTAAGCGCTCGATATCATGTCAACTTCATATGATGAGCTTTGGTTTGTGGTCTAGTCCTCATAAAAGAACTGAAAGTGACATGCACAGGATTTCAGGACCTTGGTAGTTTGGCACTGACATCCGACGTGGCTGTACTTCATTTAAACTATTCTAAACGAATTATTATTATTATTATTATTTTATCATTTTCATACATGCACAATAGAATATATTTACTTTTTACACTGCTAAAGGGTGATCTCTTGAAAGAAATAGCGACCAAATGCTAACTCCTAAAATATACATTCTTTTAAAAATATATATATTGAAAAAGTGTGGGATTTACAAGAAACAGTTTTCACTTAGATATTGCTAGTAATTTTCATTATGATCGTTTAAGTACAAGTAACACGTTGAAATAAATGTGAAATTTTGAAGTGCAAAGACTGAAAAAGTATTCTCTTGTAAAACCTACTCCAATAATCTTAGAAAAAATGTGCTGTAGGCTGTTTGGCCAAACAACTTTATGTTACTTACTCATTGGTCACAATGAGACATTCATTGCTGTTTTTTTTTCTGGAAAGAGTTGTAAAAATCTTTGCAAAGATCAAAAGGAGGAGGAAGAGAGAGAGAGAGAGGAAGAGTGTTGAAGGTCAAGGGGGAGGGAGCGGGTGCGTTCACATACAGTGGGTACGGAAAGTATTCAGACCTTTTTTAATAAATTTGCAAAAATGTCAACAATTCTGTGTTTTTCTGTCAATATGGGGTGCTCTGTGTACATTAATGAGGAAAAAAAATTAACTTAAATGATTTTAGCAAATGGCTGCAATATAACAAAGAGTGAAAAATTTAAGGGGGTCTGAATACTTTCCGTACCCACTGTATGGGTGACAGATATTCCAGAGCTTCGGCTGCATGAGTTACTGACTGCAGCTACTGATGTGATGAGCAGGAGAACCAAAACACAGCATCTGAGTGGAATTCATCTGGAATTTCATATCAGGCAGCAGCAGACATTAGCTCTCCTGATTTCGTTTATTATTTGCTCCTCCAAATGTTTACAAATCTGAGACTAATAAAGAAAAGATTACTTTTAAAAAGAGTTCTTAGTACAAAAAACAAAATAAAATAGCATTTTAATTGCAATTAAATAAAAATATGTCATAGTTTAAATTTATGTTTAGTACAATTATTTGAACTTAGCAGTGTTGTTTGAAACATTTAAGTGGGATTCTGTCTACATTTAATTAAACTGTTACATAAATTGAAACTTATGTATTTAAATATGTTCATTTAAAAATATATTAACTTTAAATATATCAAATAACACATGACAGTTAAAATTATAATCAAGTACTTTACATGTTTTTAGTATGTTAGTCAACACATCAAAATAAGTGTACTTTATAGAACAAAAAAGATTATTAAAACAATGTACTTTACTGTAAAACTTTTAATTTGACATGATTACTTAAGTGTGTAAAAGGGGTGCTATTATGCTTTTTCACTTTTTCAACTTTAGTTAGTCTGTAATGTTGCTGTTTGAGCATAAAAAACATCTGCAAAGTTCAAAGTCCACTTCAAAACGAGATATTTTATTAAACAGAAATCACTTTTCAAAAACTACAACGAACGACTCGTTTGGACTACAACGCACATTTTCCGGGATTTGTGATATCACAAAGATCGACGAATGGGACGAGACCTGGTTGAGCTGCACTAGAGAAGGCAACGAGTGTTATCACTATGTCGGAGACACGCTAGCGTTTTGCCGATATGAGCCTGTCGCGATATATCGGTATCGGCGAATATGCCGCCGATAAGAAATTTTTTTTAG